CACTGATCTAGACCATTACACTGAAAAGTCACACTGTTGTATGGGAAGCCCGAACCCCACCAGTACATTTGTACGGGTTGAGTGTAGCACCTCAAGGGGAGAAAGCCTGGGCCTTGCATATAAAGCAAACAGCATTCACAGTTACCTCAGTCTTGCCTATGCAATAGAAGTTACAGAAATGATGAAGAAGAAGATACATACTTCTGAAATGTACAGCTTAGCATAGATCTCTGAGGGTTGGTGTTGTCAACAAAACAGAATCTAGAATCATCTAAATGATGGGCCTCCTGGACACAACTGTTGAAGGATTAACTTTTTAAATTATTTGTTTATTAGTTATTTTGGATTATCTTAATTATATTATATTAAATGAGGTGGGAAGACTCACCCATATTCCATATTGGGTTTCATGGTCTAATTTGATGAAGATGACTGACCAGGTCTCTTCCTCAAGAGGGTACCAGATCTCATTACAGAGGGTTATGAGACACCTTGTGATTGCTGGGAATTGAATTCAGGACCTTTGGAAGAGCAGGCAGTGCTCTTAACCTCTGAGCCATCTCCCCAGCCTGGGAAGATTGACCCACTAAATTGAATTTAAAGCAAACATCTTGTTTGTGGGTATCTGAGTGAGGTCTCAGAGCTAGATTGAAACATTACACATGTGGATCCTCATGAATTTGATAATACCACAGAAGGGGTACAATGCCCTGCCCTGAGATCCTGGACTGTATTATAGACAGAAAAAGAGAACTGAGCGCCAGCAGGCATTCATTTGTTTTGTTTTCTGGTTGTGGGTGGATATGACGAGCTGCTTCAAGTTCTGACTCACTTGACTTTCCCACCACAATGGGCTATACCCTTGAACTATGAGCCAGAATGAGCCCTTTCTCCTTTAAGTGGCATTTGTCATAATAACAGAAAAGATGACTAAGGCAAGATCTAAGGTCATAGCTACCCCTCCACCTTGTCTACCTTCTCTCCTTTTTCTGATGCATACACTTTGATGTCCAATACATTACCTTTTTCTTCTCTGGATCCTTATTCAAGCCATAGAAAAGTCTTGATAGTTGTTGAATTTGTCTGTGTGTGTGTGCATGTGCATTTGTGTGTGTGTGTGTGTGTGTGTGTGTGTGTGTGTGTGTGTGTGTATGTTGGGGGAATGAGTGAATGTATTGAGAAGACATAACTGATGAAAGACAGGAGACTCGCTGAAGGTAGCTCATAGTTGAGATAACCAGTTAAGACCATGGTCTTCATTTTTTCTGACCAGGATACTCACATATATTCCTGTGGAAAATTAAAGAACAAAAACAATACAGAGTATCAATGAGGTAAAATAACAAGCCCCAAAACATCATCACTTTAAGATGCTGCTTAATGAATTTCTCACCACTGCTGATGCCTGGGTCTGGCAGCACTGCCCATGGAAAGACCAGCTGAAAGATGCCCACTATGTGTGTCAGCCAGCCTGGGTTTGCAGGCACTACCATTCCAATCTAGTTATGGAAGGTTTGATTTTGTTCCAACTCAAATATCCCAAGTATGCCATTTGCTTTACACTGAAAGGCATATTAAGAATCTCCATGTGCAGATCCTTGGGGCAGGCACCCAGTGGGTATGGTCATCAATCTGATCGATCAACCTCATTCTAGAGGTGTTTATTGTTTAAAGAACAATATAATAAAATACAAATAAGCAAATACAACTCGAGTATATTAGTTGGCTATTAAAGCGTAAACAAGCTACTACCCAACTTGAAGCAACACCAAATGGCTACCATATTGTTCTGGAGGGTGGCAGGGCTTCCTTCTTCCAGAGACACCAGAAGGGTATATTCTGCTTACTTCTCTCATCTTCTGGGGCCACCCACCTTCTCTGACTCCTATCACCTTTTCCCATCTTCAAAAACAGAGGCAAAGCATCCCCCTCTGACCTTCTGCCTTCTACCTATAAGGACATTTGTGATTGCACTGGGCCTATCTAGTAATGCAAAGTAATTTTCTCATTTGCAGATCCTTAACCCAATTATACCTGCAGATCTTTTTCTAGGTATAAATCACATATTCAAGGTTTCAGGGGATGATGATGCTTGTGATAGCAGGTGTCATTATTCTATTTACCACTTAAAAGAACAATTAGTGGCTTGGAAAGCCCAATAGAGGCAGTTGTGAGAGACTTTTCCTGGGAACACACACACACACACACACACACACACACACACACAGAGCCCCACTCATCACAGAAAAGGAACCCAAGACAAACTAAAGTAACAATTACACCAAAGTCTGACTTAATGAATCAATGAGTTTGTCGGGATTACTTACAGGAGTATTGGTGAGGGGTTATTTGTAGAACCAGGAATGACTCAAAAGCAGCTGCATTCATGAGAAGTGCATCCCGATACCAGAACCTCACTAAAGTCGCAGCCCTGGAGATCTCTGCAGGGTTTTCAGGCAACTCAACAAAGCCAAGGATCTCCTTTCTAGCGGCTGGAGTGGTTCTAGATAGTCTTGACCCTCCACATTTGTTACTGCCTGTATAACCTCTCTGGGGTCTTGTGAATCTTGCATGTTTTGGCTTTCTCAGATGTATGAAGTTCATATGCTGAGGCTCAGTAGCCTCTCCCCTCTCCTCTGGAGGGAATGTTTTACTTGGAAGGAAGCCGCGAATTCCAGTGCAAGACTTGGGATCAAGAAGGTTGTCACAAAGCGTGTGACACTTGTACTACCTTGAAGGATAGGTAAGATTTGGTTGGGCAGTTGAACAGAGGGAACAGATCCTGAAATGTGAAGAAAATACAAAACGTGTGGGGGTTGTATCCAGGCAACAGTGAGGAAGACCGTGAGTGCCCTCTGAAACCATTTGTATCCTGTAGCCCTTTGATTGAGAATGGTCTCCATAGGCTTGTACATTTGAATGCTTGGTCACAGTGGTGGAAGTGTTTTTGAGGATTAGAAGGATTAGAAGGTGTGTCACTGGAGCAGGCTTTGAGGTTTCAAAATCCCACATAGTTCACAGTCTCAAGATACAAATTCTCAGCTACTGCTCCAGCACTAGGCCTTCCAGCCTGTCCGCTGTCATGGACTCTAACCCTCTGAAACCATGAGCCCCAAATTAAATGCTTTCTTTTATAAGATGCCTTGGCCATGGGGTTTTGTCACAGCAGTAGAAGAGTGACTAAGAAACGTTCCCTGTATAGAAGCAATGTTATAGGAATATTTCATCTTTCTGAAAAGTCATTCCAGCAACAGCGAAGACAATGTCCAAGAGAAGCAGGTAGGGCAAGATGGCTATCTGGAAGTTGTGTAATAGCCAGTGACAACCCTAGCAATGGGACAACAAATGTGGAAAAGATTTACACACTGAAGCTATGAGTGTGTCAGGCTCTGGCAAGTCATTGCCTGTAGATGGTGAGAAAGCAGGAAAAGGAGTGAGAAACCAGATATGCAAAAGGAATAGCGTGATTTGGTGCCCTAGCTTCAGTTGCTAATTGGATAAACAATTAGTTAAAACTTGCATGGGAAAAGGAGCGGATCTGGGGGAAGAAAGTGAATGAAATAAACTTAGCACATCTGCTGGGCCCGAGCAGCAGAGCAGGGCTGGGGTGGGGGATGGGTATTGAGAGGGAAATGCCAATAAGAAGGTGGAGTTTTAGATCCTAAAGGACCAACATCTCGATGAACCTGAAGATGAACCTGAAGAGATCAGAGCCTTCATCTGGCCGTCTCCTGTTTTGTTTTTTGTTGGTTTGTTTTGTTTTGTTTTGTTTTGATTTAAGGGTTATGGCTCACAGCATCTCTTAGATGAGTTGCTGAGAACAAATATCATCCTTTGGCCAAAGTTCTGGCTATTGAGAACCAGACCTCCAAACATGACATTTCCTTGTGTAGATCAAGGGTGCCATTGTGGGTGCTATCTTCAAAGAAATCCCCAGCAGTGCCATCTGTGTCCTTGTGCCCAGAGACAGCTTGTGCAGGACTGAGGCCTATGGAGAGAGGCACAGAAGAATTTGTTAGAGACAGAGACATGTCCCTGCATGTGAATGCATGCGGACTCTGCGACATCCCTGCCTCAACCACATTTCCTTCCACTTAGAATTTGCTAGCTAAAGGGGCAAAGGAAATATTTACTGGAATGTTAACAGAATATAAGATATCTTTAGAGTGGATATCTGAACCTGTCAAGATTTAGACAAATGCTATCCATCTGAAAGTCTCCCAAGATTCACCTTCACGAAAATAGCATTCTTTCCTTCTATTGCCTTATTTCTTCTGTGAGTCTCTGCCTGTAGTGACGATTATTTGCATTATAATCATATGCTTATTTGCATTATAATCACATGCATATTTAAAGTCCTGTCCTCATCACACCCGGAATTTCCTGACAGCACAGATTCCATATGATTGATTTCTGTGATCCCAGTAGCATCATTCACCTGGCTATATACTGTCATTCTCCCATATATTCGTGATGACGCAAAAAAGATACTTGATGAGTACTTAAAAGCTGTCTATGGGTCCTTTCCCTACATCTTAACAAACAGACTTTGTGGGACATTCTCAAGAGTGCACATTAGCTATTACTGACCTCACCAAGGGTCTCCCCCGGATACTTTTTGAGTAGTCAAACCCAGTCACTGTTGAAGTCAGGGGAGGTACTGTGTAACTTCCAGTATGGACACTTAGAATAATCAGTCTTGGGATATGATTGTTCTGAACAAATACCGAAAAATGGGCCATGAGAGCTTGCTGACAAGTTGTCTTTGGCCCAGGTTAGACGTGGAGAAACTCCCCTAGACTGCTAAGAAAAGAAAATCTGAGCCTAAGCAAGGAAATCTGGGTTGACTGAACAGACATGTGAGTCCTGGCTTCAGGAGAAAAGCAACTTGGTTCAGCGGGTCCTGCAGGGGAAGACTCTAGGCCCCGTTACCAGGCATCAAGGAGTGTCTGATTGTCTCAGAGACCCTTTCCCCATGGCTCTCATTATCTTCCTTCCAGCTTCAGCTAGCGCCACCTGCTCAGAGAGGTCTTACATCACCATCAAATCTTTCAAAGCACCACGCCAACCCGCATGATTTGCTACACCCGTGGAGAACATGAATCTACAGGTTTGTTTCTATGCTTGCTTCTTGGTTCTCCCATCACAACGTAGGCACAGCGTGGGGACTCTGTCTGTCTGGTCGCATTCTTAGTCAAAGACCCATAGCCTTTTATTTGTGACAGTCCATGGAGGTGACTATTATTACCCCTCTTTTGGAGGTGAGTCACATGACTGTGCTTGGCAGAGCCAATGCCCAGCTCCAGGTCCAGCGATATCGAAGTGCATTCTTTCCCAAAGACTCTCGTGCATGCTGTACACAAGTATGACAAAGTCTTGCCCTCGATGAGACATGGTTGGTGAGACTTATTTTCTGCTGTGATCCTGGCCGATGAAAATGGGTGAGCTGGATCATTTAATTACTTTCTCCTTATTCATGAAAATTTAATGTAGGTATACAATGAAATATGATCACATCTACTCCCAACATTCCCCCTACAAACTTCGTGTGTGTGTGTGTGTGTGTGTGTGTGTGTGTGTGTGTGTGTTTAATAACCCACTGTGCTTGTTTTTTGGTCAATTTGATGTTAGAGTTGGGACAAAGGAACCTCAGTTGAGAACATTCATTCATAAGACTGGACTTTAGACATGTCTGTGAGGCCTTTTCTAGATTGCCCACCCCATTGTGGGTAGTGTCACTTCTGTGCGAGTTGTATGAGACCAGGAGAGCAATCTTCCCTCTGCCCATTTGAAGGGGCTCATTTCTGTCACCTCCTCAACTCAGGCTCACCCCCACGAGATTACCGGGAGTCTGTAGAGCCAAGCTGAGAACAACATCCATGAAGGACCTACCTTGTGAACCCCAGATGTAAACAGCACCCGGGAATGCATGGTGCAGGAGAGTTTCTCTAAACTCATAGAGAAAATGAGCCCCCATCCTACCTCTCTGTCATCTGTAGAACAGGCCAGACAGCAAGAAAAGTCAAAAGTGACTTTGTGTATGGTAGACACAGGGATATTAAAGCAATGTTTTATTTGTACTCCATAAAGCAAACTTCTTTATCCATAAGGCAAGGAAAAGTCTGTGTTGTGCTTGGGTTTTTGGTTTGTTTGGGTTTTTTGTTTGCTTGTTTGTTTCATTTTGATATAACTAGTAACTATTATTTTCTCCCTTAGATTCCAAGGCATTTTATGGAAAATCCATGCTTCCCAGTTTCTTAAAAGTATCCAGGGTCATCCTATGGCCTCATATTGTGTGAACAACCCATGAGGGAGACAAACCAGGCTCTCCTTTGTTCTTTCAAGAAGACTCCACTTTCAACAAGGAGCTGAAGAAAAATTTTGGGTAAAATTTTGGCAGACGAGAAGTTAGGAGCCTAAGAGATGCCCACATGCAGAGGAATGTGTGAGTGGAGACTGAAACTCAAGCCCAGCTCTCCAGAGACTCGGGCTTTCCCTGGTCTGCACACACCTCCTCAGCCATCCTACCACATAGAAATTCGCAGCAGCGCCTGCTCTTCTGCCGGGGCTCCTTCCTTCTTCCTTTCTTCTACCGATTTACATATTGCTAAATGATGAAATTATACAGCACATAATTCCACAGCAACTCCGCTGCTTTAAAAAAAATTTGGGAATGGAGTAATTAGCCAGAAAGGATTCTCAATTAGACCGTGGGTTCTGTTTCTAAAGCAGTAAGTGGGGGAAAGATTTAAAAAAAAAAATTGTCTCCTGAATATATTGCCATAAGACGCTTGCTGCCTGAGAGGGCAGAAAGAACGGCGGGAGCTGGGACACCACACCGACTTGTTCTGGATGTCAAGGCTGAGAAGGCAGCACCTCCAAAGAAGGGCACCTTGCTAGGCTGAGTATTCTGAACTCTTTAGGAGCCTCAGAAGCAGGTTTTTAACTTTCTCTTGTCTTCTGTCTCTTCTCTTTCTTTCATCACCAGGTGACTCAGAGAAACCTGGTGTCTGTCCCTAAGGTGGACCGTGGAAACTAGAACCCCTTCCCTTCAAAGCAAGACACAGAAGCTAGAAAGGCCGTGTTCTTGCTGTTTCCTTTCTCTCTGAAGCCCCTCCTGTGACAAGTGTCTTGTCTGCACCTGCAAAGAAGGAATGGTACACAGAGCGACCTAAAGGAGTCTGACCAAGTCCAAGCCCAGTTTCCCCTTCAGTCTGTGACGACTCTGTCAAAGTCTTTTGTCCAGTCACGTTCCGACGTGGTTGTCCATTCTTCTTTGAGTCTGTATACGAGAGTTTTTTTTCTCGGCATTTGGTGTTCACTTCCAAAGACTCCCACAGCACAGACACACAGAAATGTTAAGTGTTCTTGCTGTGTTTGTCTCCTATTACCTGTCATTTGTCAGAGCAGTGCCATTCTGCCCCTCATGACTGACAAGGAAAGGCTGACCCCTTAATAATTTGAAGCTAACCTCCTATGTTAGAGTCTCTAGCACCAGGGTGGAGAGTCGAGGTCCCTGTTTGATCCTTGTCCATCTTCTGTTTCTTTTGCTGTTAGGAGCTGGAGTATGTGGATTTGCAACTGAACTCTGAGTCAGTTCAAAGGAACTCCGGCATGAAAGCAGACCGGATGGTAGTCTGGAGAGAAGAGAGACCACAATAGGGGGCGGGGAGAAGGGTGTACAGGAAGTTGGTGAAAAGGCAGGTGGGGGAGACAGACAAGAATAGGGTATGCATGAAAGTGGCAAAATGAAACCCATTACTTTATCCGTGAACTTAAAATCCGATTTTTAAAAACCTAAAATGAACTCTGCCCTCAGTCGGCTTCAGAAGGGATTTTTGTTTACAATAAGAAGTTGATATTTCAAAAGTGTACAGTCTTACAACCTCCTGCGTATGGACCAATTACTTCTCTTCTTTTCCTTCTTCCTTCTCTTCCTCCCCTCCTTCCTCCCTTCCTTCCTTTTCCTCGTTCTTTTCTTTCTTTGCTGTACTAACCAGAAATTCTTTCTTTTCTATTACCATAGGCAGAGCAGAATGTGTTGGAAGGATCCTTCTGAAATATGAGTTCAGCTGGTGTGGGATACGTTACTTTGCAAGGTAACATGCCATGGTTTCTTCATATGCTGGTATTTCTATGTGCACGTGAAGAGAGTTCTCATTTCCCCTGAAGGTGAAAAGAAGCGGCACTTAGTGATGGAATCAGAGAAGGGAGTGTTTGTGGAGAGGATGTAGTATGAGCGATTCCTGCAAGGTGGGCACCAGCCAACTATGTCAATAACATCTGATCTCCAGATCTGATGTATCTGCTATTCCATATCTCTTAGAGCCTTTGTTAGCAGAGAGAAAGGATGCCAGGCTGACTTCATGCTGAATGAAGACATGTAGAAGGATGAAATCATCCTCTGGAACTGGGTGACAAGGAAGACAGAAGAGAAAACGGAAGTAGGACTCTCGAGAGTCAAGTGACAACTCAGAAGCATAAAATTTGTTCTTCCTCTAAAATCTTGCAAAGCAGTGTATTTATAATTCTATGAAGGGGTAGAGACTTGGTGTTCTGTTTGATTGTTTGTTTGTTTTGAGGTACATAGTCCAGAGCAGCATTTTATTTTTTCCCTTTGATTGAAAATAGATTCTTGTCTCAATAGTGTGTCCTGACTGCAGTTTCCCCTCCCTCTACTCCTCGCAGGCCCTCCCCACCTCCCTTCACATCTGGATTCCACTCCCTTGCTGTCTCTCATTAGAAAAGAACAGGCTTCTAAGAGATAACAACCTAACATAACAAAATAAAATTCAGCAAGATAAGAACCACTGAAGTTAGACAGGAAAACCAAAGGAAGGAAAAGAGCCCAAGAGAGGGCATAAGAATCAGAGACACACTCGCTTACCCACTCAGAAATCCTAGGACAACATTAAACTGAAAGCTATAGTATGTATACCGAGGACCTGGTGCAGACCCACGGAGGTCTTGTGCTTGCTGCTGTAGTCTCAATGAGCTCATAGGAGCTTTGCTCATTTGATTTACAGGGCCTTGTTCCCCTGGTATCTTCCATCCCCTCCGGGTCTTCACTCTGTCTCCTCTTCCATGGTGTTTTCTGAGATGACATCCCATTTAGAGTTTAGAGTTCCAAGCTCTCTCTCTCTCTCTCTCTCTCTCTCTCTCTCTCTCTCTCTCTCTGTCTCTCTCTCTCTCTCTCTCTCCTCCCTCACTCTCTCTCCCTCTCCCTCTCCTTTTCTCTGTCTCTTCCTCTCTCTCTCTCTCTCTCTCCTCCCTCACTCTCTCTCCCTCTCCCTCTCCTTTTCTCTGTCTCTTCCTCTCTCTCTCTCTCTCTCTCTCTGGGTAACATCTGGCTGTGGGTCTCTGTATTTGTTCCCATCTCCTGCAGAAGGAAGCTCACTGATGATGGCTGAATAAGGCACTGATCTAAGATTACAGTGAAATAGCAAAATATCCTTAGGAGTCGTTTTATTAATGCTTTTTTTTCTTCTTCTAAATACTACAATATTTTGTATTGCTCTAGATCTGTGGGCTATCTAGTCTCTGGTTTTTGGTCACCCAAATAGTGCTAGGTATGGGCTCCTGTAGTGATATTTCATTTGTATTTTAATAAATAAAGCTCACCTGAAGTTCAGAGAGTAAAACAGCACTGATCAGCCTTACAGACCAGGCAGCGGTGACACACACCTTTAATCCCAGTAGCCACACTAGTTTGCCATAAAATCTGGGAGATAGTGGTACATGCCTTTAATCCCAGCACTAGAGAGGAATATAAAATGGGAGGAGTCAGCTCTCACACACAGACTCATTCTGCGACTCCTGGAGGCAGGATCACTTTTTTTGAACTAAGGTAGAGGTAAGAGCCAGCGGCTGGCTGCTTTGCTTTTCTGACCTTCAGACTGAGTCCCAGTTTCTGTCTCTGGGTTTTTAATTAATTATGCTAAAGGCTCCATCTCCTGGAATGGATCTTAAGTCGAATCAGAGATTGGTTGGTTACTCCTACAAGTTTTATGCTACCATTGCCCTGGCATATTTGTAGGCAGGATAGCATTGTAGATCAAAGGTTTTGTGGTTGGATTGATATATACATCCTATATGTGTATACACACACACACACACACACACACACACACACACACACACACGCACACACACTCTTTTTGTGTCTTGAAAAGTAACTGCCCATAACAAAGACACTAGAACCACAGGGGTGAACGTTCTATGTAGGCTTGGCGCTTTATTTGTATAATAACACAAGGCCAGTTAGCCCTTCAAAGATCCTGATGCTTAATTTCAGCCTTGGTAAAAGTTCATAGCAGTTGATCAGTGTTATCCTCTGAGGGCTTGCCAGGTTCCATAGTACTTGGAAGCTGGAGAAAATTCAAGGAAGTAATTGGCCTTCCTAGGGTTGGTCCTGAATCCCTTCCAAGGTACCTCCAAGGTGGGTGGCCTTTCAGAATTCCATCTTTCTAATTCCTGATGGTTTAAAGTACGTGGAGGTGTATCTAATCCCATAGCATAATTGGAGGATGAATGGGAGGTTAATATAAACTGTAGAAAAATTGAAAAACAATTTCTTTAAAGAGTATTTATCTTCTACTTAGCTTCACCTGTTAACTTGACACTGCCCAGAATTATCTGAAGGAGTCCCAGTTGGATCAGACCAGCCCGAGGCGAGTCTGTGAGGTATATTCTTAACTTCTAATTATTATTAGCGTGCCTAGCCCACTGTGGGTGGTGCCATCCCTAGGAAGCTGTGGGGGAGGGGAGGAGAAGAGAGTAGGGGGAGGAGGAGAGGAGCGGAAATGAGAGGGGAAAGGAGAAGAGGAGTGGGGAGGGGAGGGGAGGAGAAAGAGAGACTGCGCCAGTAAGCACTATTCTTCCAAGGTTTCTGTTTCATTTCCTGCTTGAGTTCCTGCCCTGACTGCTCTCAGTCACAGACTGTGGCCTGGAAGGGTGAGCCAAATTAAACCCTTTCCTCTCCCGGTTGCTTTTTCCCGGAACATTTTGCCACGGCAACAGAAAGAGAATTAAAATAGTTTACCATGTTCAAATCAAAAAAAAAAAAAAAAAAAAAAGTTGCCATGAAAAGAAGGAGCCAGATTTGTTGATTTCGTTTTTTCCTGTGTGGCATCAGAGGATGCAACTAAAATGAGTGAGTTGGAACTGTAAGTCAAATATTGCACAGGGGCAAAGTCAAACTATTTTAGAGATGCCAACGTTGAATTTATCTGGGACGGGAGAGGGCACGGGGTGAATTGCTTGACAGTAAAGATAGTCGAGCTTGGGCCTCTTGGGAACCAGTGTTTCAGAAGGATTCCAGCTGCTCATGAAAACCGAACGGTTTGATCTCCTGTTCTTTTCTCAAATGAAATGCTGTTTAGTGTGGTCACTGTTTTTGCAGCAGGGAGGGAGAACAGTAGCTATCATTTGGCATGTGCAGGCTTGAGTTTGACACCAAGGAAAGAGCCATTATACTAAAGCTGACGACGCCGTCTTCCTCCTTCAGCATTGCCACTCATTGCGTCAATAGGAGTAAGGTTCAGTTTTGTCTCTGAGCCTTCAGTCCCAAGCAGTTGTTACAGAGCAAAAAATCATGAGGCAGATAGAGATTGAGGGCAAAGCCATGGATTCCGTGGAAAATAAGATCTTATGAATGCAATACAAAGTCTAGAAGCCCACCATAGCTTCACAAGGGAGTGCCGGCTTTACTAATGTTTGCTTACTTGGTTGCTCTCCGGAGAGATGAATCTTTAGTGTGAGCACCCGTGTGAGGTCTCTGCTTGCTTTCCTAGATTCTGTGTGTTCTATGAGGGGCTCTGCCTTTGCCATACTTGCTGGTTAAATTTGACAAATGCCAGGTTTAATGATTAAATGCCAGAGAACCCAGTGTATGCCTGTCGCCAGTTACCAACCCTATGAGGTTGCCATAGCTGTACCTTCTCATGCGAAGCAGAGTACATGATGTGAAAACCATTGACAAGAGCTCCCGTGGGGGCACAGGCGGCATAAATTTATAACGTGGCTAGTTAAACATGTATAATGTGCTGTTTTATAGTTCTCTACATTTCTATGATTCCCCAAGAAGGGATCACAGAACCCATATGCAAGACACTAGGCCAGTGGTTCTCAACCTTCCTAACACTGCATCCCTTTATACAATTCCTCACGTTGCAGTGACTCCAACCTTTATTTTCATTGCTACTTCATAACTGTAACTATTTGCTACTATTATGAACCGCAATATAAATATCTGATATGCAGGATATCTGATATTTGACTATAGGTTAAGAGCTACTGCAATAGACATTGTTGGAGCTTTGCCGAAAGTGGTTCAGTCCAAATGGTTTTAAAAACCATACGTGTAATCTTATTTTGAGTTATTTTAGTTTTTTGAGACAGGATCTCGCTAAGTACCCTGGTTTGTCCACCTACCTCAATGCCTTGAATACTGGAACTATATACATGTGTCAAACCTGGCTAAAACACACCAGCTTGTCCTGGTACTTGCCAGTGGAAGACCAGAAACAACCAGGGGAAAAAACCTAAGGCAATGGCACTGGGGTTGCTGTCCTCTGGATGTGGCTTGAGTGTCCCTCTAAGGTCCATGCTGTGGAACTTGATCTCTAGGCTGGTGAGACTGGGGCAATGGACATTTATGCCTCGCCTCTTTTCTTCACAAGTGTCCTGTTTTGAGTATTTCCTCACAGTCACGAAACACTGATGATACAGGACATGGTTCACTTGGGGTCATGCAGTGGGAGAACTGAAACTGAGGCCTTATCCATTTAGGCGGGAAAGCCTGAAAGAACTGACAAAAGAAAACACGGGAGGGAAAACCCTATCTTTGTTCCCTCTAGAAGCCCTGAGAGTGAACCGTGACACACTGCAGTGCTCGAGCCCTGATCCGGGACATCGGTTAGAGGACAAAAAGATAAAAACCCAGAGCATTAGATGAGGTTTAAGTACTGACGTGGTCAGACACGAGAGGAACTGGATAGGAGCAGAAGCACAGCAGCCGTAGGGAAGGAGGCAGCAGGCGACAGAGGGGACCAACAGATCCTCCGCGACCTCTAAGAGAGGCAATCAGCTATACTTTGCATGCATTTGAGTGGATCTACAGCTTCCAAATCGTCCACATTCTGTTGGCAGTTGAGATTTTTTTTTTTTTAAGTGAACAGGGATGGTGCCATTATCCTTACTTTACAGAAGGAAATCAGGCATGGAAAGGCTAAATCACATGGCTATGGGCACCATTCATAAATGCTAAGCTCTCGTATGATGGCTACGTTGAATCTGATGTGGGAAATAAAAGGGAGGGTAAGAGAACTCCCTGAGAGCATGCACAGAGGTGACTCTGGACACACTGGAGAGGTGAGTGGGGATAGGCAGAGGTCCACCATCCTCACGGTGCCCAGACACAGAGTTCTAACATTTCTCCTCTGGCTCTCACACATCACCCAAACAGCCATCAAAGGGCTACTGCCTTCCGTACCATAGCATATAACGACTTCAGAACATACAGCTATATTGAAAATCTAAAAAGTGGATAATAGATATTACATGCAAATATACATGAGCAATACATTCAAACATTTTACAGGGCAAAGTAAATAAAATGTCTTATAGTTTTAGATGAAACAATCAACAAATTTAATATATGTCTTTTTTTCAGTTCTATAAACAAACTTAGGCTCTTGTACCATGTCAATAAATAAAAATTTTATGTAGTACCTGTGAATAATTGCTAAGTGCTAGATACTAAACAAGCATTGTACTCATTAATAATCCTAACAGTTATTGTTCAAAACAAGTCCCCTGTTTGACACATATCACACAGCCCCATCTTAAGTCTGGGCCCATGATTTCTGTCCCTCAATGGTCTTTTACTTATCTTTGTCCAGTTCTCATTTTTCATCCATCAGCCACTATCAGAGAAGCCGACAGGGATGACTCACTTCTGCCCCGACAGACAGTACTGTCCCGGGTGTCATCGGACATATTTCACTTGGTTCCACACAGTTGTACTGACCCTGGCAACAGACTGAGGCCAAATCCTCAAGCTGCCATCTCAAGCTCAAGCGAATATAAGGTGTCAAGAGCGCAGACACCATTCACGGATTTGCTCTCAAGGCGTCAGAGATACTTGGTGCTGCTTTACCTAGGTTAAGGTAGTATAATTTCCATGGGCCCCAAGGTAAAGTGACATGGAGCTCCTATACTTGAAGCCACCACTCCTTTAAGGACCTGAAGCAGCAGGATGATCAGAGGCAATTAGCTGAGAATGAACATCCCTTTGCCTTTTACCATTGTCTGTGGACATGCGTTGGGAGCTTCTACTCCCAGTCCATAGCAAATCTTCCTGGCCACCATGGCACACAGGCACCTGCTGACCTACCCCCAAGACTTCCCTGTTTGTCTCACCTACCATCCACTCAGCCTAGCTTTACAGCAATGTTCTTACATCGGGCAGGAGGGGGACGATTCACAGGTAACATACTGAGAAGTTACGCAACCTGGACAAACTGGGAATGCAGCGGAAATATGAATTAACTAACTGTGGGGCAGGATTTTAGGCTCTCAGGTCAAAGTAGCTTCCTTTCTGACAAGCAATGTGCAAGAAAAAAGTAGGCTGCTTCAGAAGCTCGCAAGAGGCGTGGGATGCTAGTACTGCATTTTCCAAAGATGAAACGTGTGGATGCCACCGAAGTCGAATTCATTTCCGTGATTCAGATGCTCAGGCCAAAGGCTAACGAGGCAGCCCAAATCCTAACTGCGCTCCGGCCTCTCTGAGGTGAATCCTCTGACCTCCTTTTGCTCTCACAACAGATGCACTTACAGGCCCATTCCCAGAAAATTGGCCACCAGCCCAATCCCACAAAATGTCTATGGAATTCCGAATGGAGGTTATGCTCTTGGAAAATTAAGAGGGAAACTCCTTAAATAAAGAGGGCCAAAGAGCAGTAGATCACTTCTTGTGTCCTCTTCACAGAGGAAGGTGGTATTTCAGAGGAAAATAGACACTTTACAGGGACATTTCCCACTTAACCTCTGACTCCCAGCTGCTGTAAACCTGATGACTATGCAGGCTTGTCAGCCCCCAAACCTCATTCTGCTGCAGCGTCCCACCAGGAACGGGAAAAACACACACCCCAGGAAAAGAGACTCTTAGGCAAGGCCTGTGTCCCCTCTGTTTCTGTGAACAAGGTGTCCACCGTGGGTTAATGAGAAGCTGTAGGACGTGGAGAGGGTGGGTGTGTACCGACAAGTACAGATGTGTCCACCTCCTGAATTACCATTGGTCCACTGAACACTTCTTTGCAAGGCCTTTAGAAGAGCAGACATATCTCTTTAAGAATCAGGTCTGTGGTTGAAATGATAAAGACAACTTGGTTTTACCCTCTGTTCTCTCTGCCTTAATCCTCTGTTCCAAGCTCGACTCCTTAAAGACCTATTCAAAACCAACACACTGGACACCAAACCAGAGGGAACCTAGTCACTACTGCTATCTGGAATGTTCTTCTCTGGTGCAAACCATAAACCAGAATCTACAAAGGGACACTGCCTACCTGATGGAGATGGGATCTGGGCACTGGAATTGATGACTACAGCTTGCTAGCCTGGGGTCAGCCAGAAGAAGTGTCCTCTGGCAGTCGCCGGGCAGAGGTGGACCAGAAACAGATGTTCTAATTGCAGAAAAGACTACAATGTTCTGCGTTATGGCAAAGGCATGTTGCAGGATCCCAAGTGTCCCACAGGCTCCTTCCTGTCATTTGCATCCCATTTCCAAGTGAAATGATACATCTCTAATGTTTGGAGCACCTCTTATAGAGTCACCCAATTGTCCCTGTGCTGTGCAGTGAAGTGTGTTCAAATGACCCCTGGAATGATCATTCGTTTTATGTATCAAAGTGTTTTGGATCAGTGATGTCCAGCCAAACAGTATTTTAGGGCATGTTTGTGACCATATGCTGTGGTTTGGATATTAGATTAGCTATTTTTGTCTTTACCATGATAAAAATACCTGACAAAGGAAGCCTAGGGAAGTAAGGGCTTGTTTGGGCTTAGAATTTGAGGGTCCATTGTGACAGGGAATGTAGCGACAGGCGCCTGAAGGGGCTGGTCATATTGCATCGATAGTCAGGAAGCAGAGAGATAAATGCCAAAGCACAGCTGACTTTCTCCCTACTTATTTATTTTTCCTTTCCCTCCCTCCTTTTCCTCCGTTCTCTCTCCCACCTCTTCTTTGCACCCTCACCCTCCATCCATTCCTCCCCTGTTTCTGTTCAGAAAGAGCCAGGCCTCTCATGGGTATCGGCAAATCATGGCATATCAAGTTGAGGTAGGACTAAGCTCCTCTCCTTGTAATAATACTAGGCAAGGCCACCCAGTATGAGGAATAGGTTTTCAAGAGCCAGCCAAAGGGAACCTTTTAGGGATAGTTTTTGACTTTCTCCTTTTTATTTAGTCTAATGTCCACATTTAGGGTGGGCTTTCTCACCTCAATGAACCCAATCTAGAAGCCACTTCACAGCTAGGTCGAAAGGTGTTTGTTTTATAGGGCACTCTAGAAACTGTCAAGTTGATCATATTCATGATTAAGATGTGTTCCTTTAAAAGTATCGTTGGTGCAGTATTACCAAATAGCATTCTTAAGCAGCGCTGAAGTCATGAGGGCTCAGCTCTCATTAATGGGATTCAGAACACCTATTAAAGGACATCACCAAAGGAGTTGAGCCATTCCTGTCCTACCTTCTGTGATGTAGGAGCTGAGGTACCCTATGAAGACACACAGCATCCTTCGGCAGAAGCCAACACCTTGATTTCAGACATCCCACTCATTATAACTATGAGAAATAAATTTCCGTTCTTTCTAAAATGTTCATGTCTTTAGTGTTCTGTGGTAGAAAAGGAAAGTGGACTTTTGGATAAGCATAGTGTTCCACAGTGGACAGAACTATCCTCCCCAGCATGCTTGAGGTCATTTGATTTGCTGTGGTCCTGACTGGGAAAAAAAAAAAACAAAAAAAAAGGCCAATTGCTCTTCTTTCTACTTGAGCTGCATCTTCTGCCCTTGGATAATAGAGCTTCTGAGGCTTGGGCCTTTGGAGTTAGACTAAATGGTGCTACTGCCTTTTCTGATTTCCCAGCTCACAGACAGCAGATGGCAGGACTTTTCAGCCTCCATAATTGTGTGAGCCGATTCCCATATATATATCTATCTCCTATTGGTTTTGCTTTTCTGGAGAAGTCTGACTAATACACTCAGCTATAAATCATGCGCCAGACTGAAGGATGGTGAAATGGAGCGAGCCCCACTTGGACTCCTATAGTAAGCCTGTGCTGAGTGAATGGGGTTTCTGGACTCTTTCCTTCGCTCTTTTATGTCTTCCCTCATTCAGATTTTGACTAAGATCTCAGGCCACCAGCATAGACCTAGGCTTGGCCTCAAGATACACCCACTGCCTAGTTGTGTAGGATACACGGAAACAAGAAATGTAGCATATCATAAGCTGTACATATATTGGATATTGAGACAGCCAGGAGTGGAATTAATAAGCTCCTCATGTTGGAGAAGCACTACTCACCTCCAGGAAGACCCAGAAATGAAGAGAAAGACCAAAAAAAGAATGCAGATGTGGATGGTAGGGACTGGGAGACTAGGGGTACAGCAGCAGATGGCTAAATAGGACCAAATATTAAGCAATATTGGCACACATGCGTATTTTTTTTTTATAGAGAGAAGCAGTCCGGGCAAAAAGGAATGTACAAGAGGATCAGAGTATGTACGACCCAGCTAGGACCCTGGTAACAGTCTGACCTCAGCAGCAAGCCTGCAGCCACAGTTGTAACCCTCGGCTGGACTTCATGGATGCTGCTGGCCTCGTTGTTGACTGGACTTGATCTGGTGCTGTTGTCAAACTGCCCACATTTGGGGCACATCTGACTACCTCGCTTTAGAGCTTACCAAGGCACATTTGTGGCTACGAGGGGACCACAGGACTCTACAGCTCCCCTCTGTTGTCTGAGGACTCCCAACTCTGCAGATGGAGAAGCCAAGGCAAAGAGCTCCGCTGAGTGTGGTAGGGAAGTAGAAACCAAGCCGACATTTGGTGTGCGGTAGCAATCCCAGCTCTGGTTTAACACAAGCGATGTGTTTCACTCACAAACTGGCACCGAGAGCTCATTTACATTTAAATAAGAGGCTTGTTAATGCCAGCAGGAGGACGCTGTCAATGCCAAGCCTGGCTCAGGATTCCTGCCAAGGAGTTTCTAAGAGCATCGCTCTAGGAAACTCCCCCAGAAGAGAAGCAAGCATGCTTTCTCATTAAGACAACTCTACCACGGTGACATTTGCCTCTGAGCGGCAAGCCTTTGGCTGGGCAGGAAGCAAGTTGTTGAGTCTTGGAACATTGTCAGTTGCTAAGACGGTTGCTTAGTTCATCTTGGCTCCTCATATACCCAAAGACCACCTGGCGTGAGGTGATCTGATGGGGATCACAGCAAATTTCTGCCCTCTGGCACCTCCCAGTCGTGTGGGCAAGACTGAGGTTACTAAGAAGTGTGTGAAGAAGAAAACTGTGTTGCAACGTAAAGTCAAGGTCAAGGTCAAGGTCATCACCAGGCAATTCGCTGCTGGGAAACTCTCCTCCCGGCATAAGTCAAATTGTTTTCTTTCTACAGATTCTGTACCCCAATGGCTGCAGATGCTAAGTAGGAAACTAAGCATTAGTGAAACAGGCTGTTGCTAAAACCTGCAAACATAGCTAAGATTCCAGTAATCTGGAGTATGCCTGTCT